GATGTAAAGAAGATATACCAAAAAAGAAATATTTCTTAAACATGTTGTTAAAGACTTGATCTATAAATTTGTATGTATGTATGAAAATATTATATGTTATGAGATATAATTTCTTAAATAAAATTTAATCTGAGAAATTAATTTATAATTCTCGATTAAGAAAACACTGAATTAATTATAAAAAAAAATGAAAGGATATCACCGAATTTTTTGACGTGTCTTGGTGGATTCAAATGATTTGGTTACACGTTTTTTTATACATGAATTGGTTACACTTCCCAATCAAAACCTGGTTGCACCCAACATGCGGAGAATGAAACCTAACGATAGATAACCTACTCTGTAATCTGTATGTAACAATGGATCTTTTTTATTATTTCAATTTCATCCACGACTTTTTTTATATTTCTTTTATACACAAATTATTATTAGATAATTAGATTTTCTCCCGCCCAATCTCATAAGAGCTCGGCCAACCTGAACAGAGAAAAATATTATATTTTTTCACGCTCATAGACTTATGTACTACCAATTCGGAACTCATAAACTGTTAATTAGTTGTTTACAAGGGTTTATATATATATATGTGCTTAAAGATAATCACCTAAGAGATAATCTAATTTATGGATAAATTTCATCATTTATATAAGGGGTAACTAAAACACTTTTAATTAAATTTAACTCTTCTAAAATGAGGGAATGCATTTTAAAAAATAAAGTGCAATCACAATTATTAATTATAAAATTAACAATTAAGATTTAAAAGAAATATCTTATAAAATAAAATCTAAAATTTATTATAATATTAATCTTTAATTTTTTTAATTAATGGTCATTATTGTACTTTGTTTTATAAAGTATAATTTTCTTGTTTTAGAAGAGTTAATCTCTTTTAATTTAATCATTTTTTTTAGAATTTTGTGTATTTTTTTATTAAATTATATTTTTAGTCTCTTTATTTTTATTGATTCACAATTTTATAGAGACATTTAATCCCTGTGTTTTTTAAAATATGAAGTTATAGTCTTACCGTTAATTTAATGTTCATTTTAGTTATTAAATTTTAACGTTATTTGTTGACATGTCACCATTTAAGTAATGTAATATTTAGTGACTTGAAATATAAATGACATTTGTAATGACATGTTATCTTTATTACACTTAACGGACTAACTATTAGTAGCGAAAAAAAAATACTATAACTACTTGGGATTAATATATTCACATCACCTATTTATGTATGATAATTTATATATATATATATAACAACCAAAAAAATTAAAGCAACTATACAAATATGTGTGTGCAGTAATCCATTCATTGTGAAATAAAAATCATAAGTTGTTAGTTAAGTAACTACAACAAAACTCCATATTATCACCAATAGTAGCATTTCGCCAATAACATGACTCAAAAAGTCATCGGCATCTAGCCTATCCCTATCTTGCTTTCATGTAAATACAATTGTTGCAGTTGAATTGCTAGGAAAACATATATACAAGGGTAAACTATATTTCAAAAGAAACAACATATAACAAGTATAAAAGAAAAATGCATCTATATTGTTAGCAACCTGAAGATGTAAACTATCTAACATGCACCTCATGGCTTACATCATACAACACTCAATATGACGTCAACACATCTGAAAAGCAAACAACTTAAGAAAATCAAACTTACACCACAACCACACCACACCACACAACCATGTAATCACCAAAGCATATGAACAACACCAAGTAACATCACATCACATGCATACACCTCAACTAATACATTGTCACACATTCACTTATGAATATCTCCTACAATACTTGAGCAACCTAAGTAGCTTGACCCCACCAAACCAACCACTCACTTCCATGTCTTACACACTTGCTAGATCGACAACTAAATTAGAATACTAATCTCCTATCATATGATTTCTCGAATGTCTCCACTTAGACTAGAAAAGTCCAGTACCATCATTAAGTGTAGCATAACTTGGGTATGAGCTTACCACGATATTAACATGCATTAATTAGACCCTTATGAATTATAGCCCAATTAACTATCATCGCGATATCATGCACCTCTCCAATAATTGGTTAAGAGTTGTCGCTCTTAACTTCATACATTACTCCAACATTAACTAAGGATCTAAAAAAGGCTCAACAATCCACTCCAAGTGTTAACGCATACTCATGAGGATTTTTCAACAACTAGTCTCCTAAAGTGCCACACCAATATTCACACTATGGAATATCCAACTTTTGAAAATAATTTTTTCTCTATTCCTAAGTCAATCAACATGCCTAATGCTTATAACACTTTCAATATCAACACCTCAATGAGTCCACAAATCATGATTGAATGCCTAAATGCCTTAAGGCGTTCTCAGCATCACACCTCAACAACATACATCTATATGCATTATCCTAGTTCAATGGATATAAATCTAACAACATTAATCAACTTGTAACATACCAATACATCTCAACACATTCAACCATAGAACCATTTATATGTATTACCTCGTATCAATATACATATCATAAACAACACCTTTCAGTATACAACATGAAATAGATTCATCTAACCTATTCATGATCACCAATTAATCAGATAAACAATATATTATTATAAGGCAACCCTTGCTCAACGCTATCTACCTTACGCTTGGAGCCATTGAGACATGGAGCCCTCTATCTTTCCCACACCTAGTGTTATTCAACTCACGTCGAGCATGGCTAAGGTAGAAAACCTCTAGACTTTCACACTTGGTGTGACAAAGTCCTATACTTGGTCCCAAACTAGATAGAGATGAGTTTCTCCCCTCACATATGATGCATCTCATTTGGCGCTTGGTACCAATTCAAGCAGAGTCAATTTCTTACCTCACACCCGACGCCATTCAAACCATGTTCTGCGTGACCAAGTCTGAAACTATTCTCTCTCCTCACACTCGACGTTACTAATCTTGTACTTGACGTGAGCAAGATAGAGACCCCTAATTTGAGCCACACTTGGTGTCATAAAGGCACACTCAATGCTACAATTAGTTTTGCTCTTAATAGACCTCGAATTTGGCTCAAAACACCCAAAGAATAGGAGATTCCAAGTATGCAAAGCAATATAACACCTATATACATCATTCGTATCTCAAGTTGCACCAAAATGAATGCATGCAATAACAACTCCAAGAAATCACCAATATTCATATTCATGAACTTAAACCACCCAAGTTTCACAAATAACAATCCACACCTCCAAATCATTCATACAATCATGCATTAATTGAATTCAAGGCACATACAACTCATCAATACATTAAAAATATAAGTTATAGCTTCCTTTATGCCTCAACTCCAAGCGAGGAGATGAAGAAGGAAAAAAAAGATCAGTCTCGAGCTTTGAGTGAATACAAGCCTCACGCCTACACCACCTTGATTTTTAGCTATTCGACTTCGAATCAACAATTAACAACAATCCTTACTCACTCGGGAGACCTAAAAAATAGAAAAGGAAGGATCAAATTTCATTTTTTTTCCTTTAGTTTATTTTTTTTATGATTCTCAAGAGCTGAACTTATAAAGTTTAACTTAAAAAAAAAATCTTATATACTTTTTCCATCAATTTCAAATTGAACCTCTCTTAAGAGAAACATTCTAAAGATTCAAAAACTCTCTAGGAATTTCTTAACTCTTAGAACCCCTCAACAATAGACTCCAAAACAACACATAACACATACTTGTTGATAAAATAAAATAATTAAGAATAATGTACGATATTACAACATTGATGATATTTAAAAATGAAAAAAGATATAAAATAATTTTGTATGTATTTATTTTATTAATAAAATTTTATTTGTATTTTAAAAAAATATTATTTTATTAAGTAATAAGTAAATATTAAAACATAATGATTAGTAAAAATAAATTTGATGGAATGACTAAAATTTCATATTTATAAAATTAGATAAACTAAATGTTCATATTTTAAAACAGAGAGAACAAAATTGCAAGTTAATCAAAATAGAAGAATCAAAAACATGATTTAACATTATTTCATATATCTATACCTATTATAAAATGGATATATTTTAATAACTACTATTTTGGTCTCCACTTTTTAGTGGGCTTGAATGTAAAAAAAAAAAGATTTCTTATATATTATACAATTTTTAATATTTGTCTGTATATAATTATTAGAGGCACGAAGTGCCTTAACCCTTCTAGTAATATATAAAAGGATTTGAATCATGTAAAATGAAAAAAAATCACTTTAAATAATAAAGTGTATTAATAACTATTAATTAAAAACTAATAATAAATATTATAATTAATTTTAAATTTTATTATATATATAATTTTATCACACTCCTCAATCAATTTTTAATTAATTATATCAAATATACTTTATTATGAAGTTAACCCATTTACTTTAAAGGAAATAAATCCCGTATGAAATTATTAAAAGTTTAGCCGCTTGAAAAAGAAAAAGAAAAAACAAACAAACAAACATGCGAGGTATGATCAATAATAATGTAACGTGGTTTCATTTCGTTTTTTTTTTCTTCTCATATCTCACGTTATTTATTTATTTTTTTAAAATGAGAGACTTTTATAGTTTTATGAAGCTGTTCTCATTTAAAAATTTTAAAGTGATGAAGTAGTTACACTTACATTATTGCTTGAATCCTTGAACAAAACAAGGATTTTTCACAAAAACTAAAGAATCAAGCCAATTATTTATTAAGAAGTATAAAAATACTATTATTCATAAAGAAGTATAAAAATTCTCATTCGATATTTTTTAAAGAATCTTATTTTTAATTCATATATAAATTAATTTTAATTTTTTAAAAATACTTGTCCAAACAATTCTATATTTAATTTGCATATAAAAGGGAAGAGAGACAGATCTACAAATATTTTATCCGATATTTCGTGCGTTTAAATATTATTATATTATTATTTGGTGTATCTGATATAGTAAATGTGTGTGTCTGTCTGATTTCATTTCACCTCTCTTTCCTAACCCCAAACGCCACGCCACTGTCATTTTCTCACAAATCAGAATGTGTTATGTGCATGTGCACCAATAAGATCGAGAATCTCTCACTTCCCCCATTAAAATCCAATCTGGGTCTCTCCCCTCTCAGGACAAAGCTTCCGACTTTGCGGGATTCGGATGGGGAAGGTCGCCGTCGGAGCTGCGGTTGTATGCGCCGCCGCCGTTTGCGCCGCCGCGGCGCTCGTCGTGCGCCACCGCATGATTAGTTCCCGTAAGTGGGCCCGCGCCGTGGCGATACTGAAGGAGTTTGAGGAGAAGTGTGGGACCCCAATTTTGAAGCTCAGACAAGTGGCTGATGCCATGGATGTTGAGATGCATGCGGGTCTCGCATCTGAAGGTGGTAGCAAGCTCAACATGTTGATCAGTTTCGTCGATAATCTCCCAACTGGGTTCGTAGATTTATCTCATCTCATCTCTTTTTCATCATTGGTTAGCTTTGTAATGTTAATATTAATAAAAAATGCATTTTTTTCTCCTAATTTGGCGTTTTTCAAAATTTTATATTTTTAAAAAGAGAGATAACTGTTAGAGACACTCCGGAGGGCTGAGATGTCCCGGATTTGTGGACTGTATGTTTGTCCTGCTCCTTGCAACGTTGATCTAGTTATTTTATTTTACATGAATTTCTATTTGACTTTTTTTTTTTTAATCTGATAGTTCAGTAGTAGTTGGTTTGTTTATACTTTTTGGCCCCATTCTCAAACTGAATTTTGTATGTAATTCAGTAAATATATGTAAATTACCTTCACTGTGATCATATTTTGGTATTGGCATATATAAAAAAAAAAAGATAGATGATTAGAGTTATTTTATTTTATTTTATTTTTAAATCTGGGGTTTTGAAAATGAAGCGTGATTTGTATATTATGATGGTTCAGATGATACTGAAACTAGCACTTCAGAATTTACATCATTAAAACGGGATAATTTACTAGGAAATTAGTCATGGTAATGAAACTACCCACTTGTTATTGGTTCTGTCGGCTGGATGGATGATAATGGTTCATTCCTAAAGCATTTGATTGTTTATATTGTGTTTTGAAGAGTCTGCAGTCAAGATGCAGAGAGAAAGAGAGTGTGTATGATTAAGTGTTACACTGTGATTGTCTTCACATAGATAACAAAATTATATATATATATTTTTATTAATTTGAAGTTGTTATTCTTAAAGCTCGAGTCATTCTTTACCTTGTTCCATTATTTACAGGGATGAGGAAGGACTCTATTATGCACTGGATCTTGGTGGCACAAACTTCCGGGTCCTTCGAGTACATTTAGGTGGGAAAGATAATGGTGTTATTGGCCAGGAGTTTGAAGAAGTATCAATTCCTCCACATTTGATGACTGGTTCTTCAGATGTAAGTGTGTTGTGGTTATGAGAAAATCTGTCAGAGTATTAAGCTTGCCTACACTTTGATGCATGTTCATTATGTTGCTACAGGCATTATTTGATTTTATAGCAGCAGCTCTTGCCAAGTTTGTTGGTTCAGAACCAGAAGGTTTTCATCCTCCCCCTGGCAGACAAAGAGAACTGGGTTTTACATTCTCATTCCCAGTGAGGCAAACATCAATTGCATCTGGGACTCTAATAAAGTGGACTAAAGGTTTCAATATTGAAGATGCGGTAAGTCTTGTTACCTTGATTATATTATATTCAGTATTATTTGTGCTGCTATTTTTCTTGTCATTTATTTATACTTTTAGGTATAGTACAGAAACTTGCACGAGTCTCTCATTTTGACACACCAACTGCCTCCCTACTATTGTATTAATTTTTGTGAGTCCATGTACAATATTTACCTCATTATAGCCATAAGATCTCTTTCTGTTTTCAGAGAGAACTCTCTTCTCTTCTACTTGGTTTCTCTTTGTTTGTCAGATATTCTCTGACCGAGCTTGATAATCTGACAGTTATTCCATGGTTGTAGGTTGGTGAAGATGTGGTGGGAGAACTAACCAAGTCCTTGGAAAAAATTGGCCTGGACATGCGGGTTGCTGCTCTAGTCAGTCTCACTCTCCTCTCTTTAGGATTTCTTTATTTTTTTGTAGCCAGGATTGAGCATGATGATTGTGTCTGACAGAATTTTGGGTTATAAGGTTATGTGGTGTCAGTTTTTGTTTATTTCAAGTAATTCTTGATTGCTTTATATCTTAAACTGGAAATGAAACATAACTTGGTGATTTGATGTAGGTTAATGATACCATTGGAACATTAGCTGGAGGCAGATTCTACAATCAGGATGTCATTGCTGCTGTGATTCTTGGTACTGGGACAAATGCAGCATATGTAGAACGTGCACATGCTATTCCAAAATGGCATGGCCTTATACCAAAATCAGGAGATATGGTAAGTAGGTTATGAATATATATGAGACTTAATTTATTGCGTGATAGTGTTGTTTACTGTGATACTGAGTGGCAGGTAATGAAATAATTAGTCATTGACAAAGCATGCTGATTACTTTTAAATATTATAGGTTATAAACATGGAGTGGGGTAATTTCCGATCATCACATCTTCCTCTAACAGAATATGATCAAGCTCTGGATGCTGAGAGCTTAAACCCTGGAGAACAGGTAATAATCATCTACTATATTCATTTGTTCAATTGACCAATGTAACTCTAATTCTAACATTATTCCACTACTATTCACAGATTTTTGAGAAATTGATTTCTGGCATGTATTTGGGGGAAATTGTAAGGAGAGCTTTGTTGAGGATGGCTGAAGAAGCTGACTTTTTTGGAGATACAGTTCCCCCCAAATTGAAAGTTCCGTTCATACTTAGGTAATATAATTTATACCACCAAACATAGTTGTTAATAGCTGCTGATGTAGCGGAGTGGAGCAGCCAGAGGCTGCTATTCCAGGCTGCATTCTTGTGTAGCAGGAGTCACAACTGTGAATAAGGGCCGTTATCCCAAAATTCATGGTCATTGTGGCTACTGGCTACTAGTGTTGACTGTTGATGTGTGTGCATATCTACCTTGCCAATAATGTGTTTGGATAATCATTTACAAAATTGATTGTAGTCAAAATTGATTTTGAAGTGAGTAACTTTTTCTTTTTATTCTAAAAGCTGGTTAGTAGTAAAATTCTATATAAATTTTTTATCCAATCCAAAAGTTACCTAAAGTTGTTTTAACTTAAAATGAATTTTGATCTCGATCAAATTTTAAGGTGTGGCCAAACATTTGAGCATTTACGTAAAATCACATTAGCCGGTAGTTTAATGTGATTGTGGATGATCTAATGTGAATCCAAACACACACTTAGCATGGTTGTTTAATTGGATGAATTGCACAGAAATCTGAGCAAATTAAGATTCATGCACTATTTAGACTTCACGTGGACCGATTCAGTATCATTTATTTAATTTTTTTATAAAGTGCTGTTCCCCTTTTTTCTATTTCAATCTCATTTCCCAGGATTGCTTGATAAATTCTTTTAATCGTAGCCACACCATTAGCCAATTCGTGAATCCTTTTTCTTTTCTAATTTTTGAAACTTGTAAATCAAGACAATAATGTTGCAAAACAAGATGGGGTTGTCATTGCCTCTTTTAGGATCTGCTTGGTTGTTGGAAGGAGAAGTGGGGATGGGAGAAAAAGTGAAAATGGAGGACAAAAAGGTTTACTGGTTTTTAATTCTGCGTAAATCATGGGGGAAATGGTATGATTAAAATATTTCCATCCTCATTTATTTTAGGTAAAAGCATGGATATATGAAAATAAGCAAAACATAGGTTTGGAATGCAAATAGTGAGTGACCTATGGATGATAGTTTCTGCTAAGAGTGGAATGCAAATAGTGACCTTTTCATTTTCAGTTCTTTCTTTGAAATCTCATACCAATCAATTTTAAAAATGGTATTCACTCTTCGTTTTCATTTTCATCCCCTTGTTTACACCATGCTAAGGCTACCTGTTACTCCTTGTTGGGTTGTATAAAGCTTCATTGCAGCACATCATTTTTGTGAATTACAGCCTTGAGTTTTGACGTCATTTTTATTAGGACGCCTGACATGTCAGCCATGCACCATGACACAACATCTGATCTGAGAGTGGTTGGAAACAAATTAAAGGATATATTAGAGGTATGCATTCTGATTATGTTAAGGGCATTACAGCAATCCCAAAAGGAAATATATTGGTTTTCTTACAACCATCCTTTTTGTCAGATCTCTAATACATCCTTAAAAATGAGGAAGATTGTTGTGGAGCTCTGTGACATTGTTGCTACACGCGGCGCTCGCCTTGCTGCTGCTGGTATTTTGGGCATCCTTAAGAAAATAGGAAGAGACACAGTTAAGGTTGGGGAGAAGCAAAATTCAGTGATAGCATTGGATGGAGGATTGTTTGAGCACTACACTAAATTCAGAGTTTGCTTGGAGAGTACACTGAAGGAATTGCTGGGAGATGAGGCAGCTGAGACCATTGTCATTGAGCATGCTAATGATGGCTCTGGCATTGGAGCAGCCCTCCTAGCAGCTTCTCACTCTCAATATTTAGGAGTGGAAGAGTCATGAATTTATTGGCAAGTGAAAGACGTGTAATACTAGTTTCATTTTTTGCATAGGTAATAGATCAACACATTGAAGCAATGATGCCTTGGTTACTGGTCCTACAGACCATAAAAGGATCTGGGGCATTCATTATTTTGGTTGCGGCTTTATTTCTCCTTCATTAAGGAATAATATCAAAGACAAAACTTAGGTACTATTTTTATATGTGGTTGATGTTGTTTTTCAATCTGAATTAAAGTTTTATTTCGATAATATGCATAAATGTATGTTAATGAAATCTACATTAAATACAATTGCATATTATTAAGATAAAACTTCAATTCTAAACCACACTTAAAGTACTATACTTACGTTTTGTCTTAAACTTAATTTGTGAGTGACTAGTCACCTTTTGCGGAATGTAGCCAATGAGAATAAATCAGGACTTACTGTATTGACAAGCCTAAATATTCTTAATTTGAAGCTTTTCTGAGTTATCAATGAAAAGTAAAGATATTTCTGACAGAGCATCTTGGAATGTAGCCAATGAGAATAAATTAGGGTTTAAGCTTTTCTGACAGAGCATCTTGGATTTTTTTTTCGTTGTTCACCCGATAAAAGTAAAGATATTTCTTTTTATCATAAGCGTGTCTGTTGGTTCATGTCTGGAGAAGAAATAAGAGTGCTCACGAAATAATAGCTGCATTATTGGAGATGCATTTGACAAATTACTAACGGTAAGAACATTGCTGTATGTCTTCTATAAAAATCAGCTAACGGTATTTTTTGTCTCAATTTAATTCCAACAAAGAAATCAAGACAAAACTTTGGGTGGCAAATTCCTTTGTCATCATTCTATATATCGGACACTTGGATGCAAGAGGAGCCTATATCTACCTAGTCTTAATGGTCCTTATCAACAATCCTTTCTTTAATTCCAATTTTTGGAACGCAAGTTATTGTAAATAATAAATATACAGGCAAGTTAGGCCAATGAATCAAAAAAGTACTGGTAAATTAGGAACGAAGACTCAGATCTCTCTTTAATTTCAACCTGTGTCCACTTTCAGAATTCCCCATTAAATTTTGGATTAGCTTTTATGTTCTTGTGAGCGAATTTGATGGAGGCTTTAGGTTTGGTTCATGCAGAAGTGGTTCTTCACTCCTTGTTTTTACTTCTCGCTCATAGAGTGATAGTCATAGGTTAAGGTCATTGTAATACTAGCACTCTCGTAAACGTCATTTTATTGGAAATGTTGAAGAAACATTTTCTCATTGCAAAGCATGACAATAATGGTGTAAATTATGAAGGAGAAGGTGAAAAAAAATAAAATTAATAGAGAAGACAATGAGATAAATGGTCAATTTCATCAAAATTGTTCATTCGATCTTCATTCATTTTATCTGTCTACATACACACGTGTCTAATGTTTTCCTTGGGAGAGGGACAAGAATCGACTAAATTAAAGATAATAGATAAGAATTAATTTAATAAAAAATAAAGCAAAATTTATAATTATTTAATAAAGTAAAATTAAGTAAAAAATAGAAAAAAAGTGATATTTTAAAAATATATTTTATATAAAAATAAATTATTTAAACAACTACATTTTTATTCTTTATTAACTTTTTTTAAATATGCATTTAGCCAATAATATCTTCAAACATATTTTTGTGAAAAATTAGACATAATTCAACTTATAAAATAGTAAAATTAAATCTATATAGACTTCATCACAATATCTTCTCCAATCCACTTAAATTTTCTCCTCAAAACACAATTTTTTTTAAAAATTATTTAATAATTCCTCTCCTTTTTTCCCATTCCCTATTAAATATCCTCCTTCAATCACAACATAATTGAATGACGTAGGTTAAACTTGTCAAGTCAGTTCTTCAAAAGGTGACATCATATTATGAGCTTCAAATGAAAAAACAATTAATTTGTAATTTCACATACCATTTTAGTTTTTTTTTTTCTTTTTTAACAACACATTTCATTTCGTCAAGGTTAACCAACCCCTACAATTTGATCAACCAAATTGGTGCTTCACTATCGCATTCATTATATTTCCTTTATTCTACCCCATACCGCATCCTCAAATTGTAGACTTTCTTTCAGACAAGAAACTGGCGAAGGTCAAATGAGTTTCAGTTTTGCAACATTTTGAATAGCCGAAAGCTTAAAGAGTATTAGTAGACATTAAAAAGACAAGAGTGTGAGTTGAATTAAACAAGCATAGGGTTCAAATAAAAGCATTGTACGTGAGTAAAAATACAGAATAGGAATAGATAGATAGATAGATGGTTGTTGTCGAGTTTTCAGGCATTGGAGGGAGAAGGAAGAGACAGGGAGAGATTGTTGAGACGCTCAAGGACCAAAATAAGAGCCTGAGTGCCCAAATTACCTTCACCATGAGCCTTAAGCGAAACGTAAAGCTGTTGCGCCAGAGCCAAGCCAGGCAAAGCAATCCCCATATTCTCACACTCCTTCAGACAAATCCCTAAATCTTTCACAAAGTGGTTCACATAGAACCCCGCTTGCAAATCCCTCTTCAGAATCCTCTTCCCGTACAAATCAAGCGACCGGGAACCGGCAGCGCCGGTTGAAATGGCCTCCAGGTACAGCCCCACATCGAGCCCCGCCTTGTGCGCGTACACCATCCCCTCCACCAACCCCACCATCGTCGACGCTATCGTCACCTGATTCGCCAGTTTCGAGAATTGCCCCTTCCCACTCCCTCCCATGTAGTTAACCTTCCCAAGAACCGAAAACAACGGTTTCAGATTCTCCACCGTCGACTCTTCGCCGCCGGCGAAGATCGCTAGGGTTCCGTTCCTCGCGCCGAGGTCGCCGCCGGACACCGGGGCATCCACGGAGTGGCAGCCCTTGGCGGCCGCGGCGGCCGCGATTTCGACGGCGAGGGAGGGCTCCGAGGTGGTCATGTCGACGAGGACGCCGCCGGGGCGGAGGGCGGCGAGGGCGCCGGTGGCGGGGTCGAGGAGGACGGAGCGTACGTCGGAGGGGTAGCCGACGATGGAGAAGACGACGTCGGAGCGGGCGGCAACGGCGTTGGGAGAGGCGGCGAGGTGGGCGCCGAGGTCGACGAGGGGCTGGGCCTTGGCGAGGGTGCGATTGAAGACAGTGAGGGAGTAGCCGGCCCGGATGAGGTGGGCGCACATGGAGTGGCCCATGACGCCGGTGCCGATCCAGCCCAGGCGCGTGTTTGATGGGCTTATGGGCTCGGAGGGTGCCATGAAGCGGCGGATGATGGAAGTGTGAGAGTGGCGGATTCGGCGTAGTAGTGACATGTTTCTTGTTTTGTGTGCCACATATATATATAACTATTATTTTCGCCTTCCATTATCCTGTTCTCATGTTAACCTTCGCCCTTGCCAAATTTTCTATATCCAACTAAATGAATTCTATACTCTTTTAAATCAATCAATTTGTATCTAAGTTAAATAAATTTTATAAATTGTGCTATATTATATTTTTAGTATTTATATTTTATTTTATATTTATTTTAATTTTATATTATTTAAAATATTTATTTTAATATATATATATTTGGATCAATTTTAATTTTTTTCTAAAATAATAGTAATTATTAATTTTACGACATGATTTTAAAATAATTTTTACTAATTTAAAATGTAAAATTTATAATATTAAATTTAATTATATAAAATTGTGAAACTTAATTGATGTTTGAATTAATATAATGAAAGTCGTGTAAAAACATATCCTACAAACAACTTAAAAATAATATGAAGTTATATTTTTAAAATTTTTGATTTATTTTTATATAATTTTTATTATGTTTGAAATATTTATTTTATTCAAATCAAAATTGTATTAAATATTTTTTTTATATAAGTGATAAGTTTCAAGTATCGAATTAATAAAAAATAATTCAAAATCATATCTTAAAATTGAAAATAATTATTATTTTAAAAAATTAAATTGGTTTAAATTTAAGTGATAAAAGATTAAAATAAATATTTTAAAAAATAAAAGATTAAAATAAATCTAATAAATATGATAAAAGATCAAATGTATAATTTAGTCTAAAATTTTAAAAATTTATTTAAGTTCTAACAATTATTGTTTTTAATTTTTGGTTCTTTAACATTTATTATTGTTACTACTTAAATCTTTGAAACTAAAAGGGAAAAAAATGTTAATTTTAGATACTGAAATGAAATCATTAAAAAATTTAAAGATTTATTTTAATTATAATTATTAATATAATAAAGAGGTACAATTCTGAATTAAATTATTTGTTTTTATATATATTTTTAGAGATTTTTTTTACAAGTCTTATATTTAATATTTTTAAAGTTAGATTAGTCATCAAATTGATGAAAATACTATTTCAAAGTTTAATTATCTAATTGTGATTAAATCATGATGAAATTGATATATAATTTAATAATAATGTTTAAAAATGTACTCCCTCCGTTTTTTTTTCATAGTCGTTTTGTCAGAGTTTGTTGTTTTTTTTTCATTGTCCTATTACTAAAATCAATGAGTTATTAATTTTTTTCTTCTATTTTTACCCTTGATAATTAATATATGTTTCCTGAACAATGTGTGTATTTATTTTTAATGTCTACCTAATTTTTCTCCAACTACTCATATAAAGTTAATGTACATTTATAAGAGCAATATGTTCCCAACAAAATACTATAAAAAAACAAAAAAAAAATGGACAACTATTTAATGGAGTAGTTCAACAGTCTAAAAAATGCAAAAAAAAATAAAGGATAAAAGAAAATAAGTAATAAACATTTTTGAAAACTAAAATATCAATAATTTCCTTAAATCTCGTACAAAACCTTAAACGACTATAAAAAAAAACGGAGAGAGTATTATACTATATAATGTTAAAAGGAACATGATATTCAAAACTTTATAACATTGTACTGACTTCATAACTTTAAAAAGACATGGCAAAAAAAGTGAAAGCAATGTATTCACTTTCAATTTTTTAATTTTGGCACGTGATTTTAATTGAATAAACCTAGACAAATTAGAATTAGAATTATAATTACTGCAGTGGCATATCGAAATTAGAAATATATATAGCTAAAGTGCAGTGCTAAACAATATAGATAAATCGGTCGTGTGTGACTATTTTTGAGCAATTCACTCAAGATATTTTTATAAAAAGAAAACATAAATTTCTATGGTTTTAAAAATTAATATGCAGCAACATGATACATTGTAAAACAAGAAAAAAAAACAGAAGGTACCAATAGTTTGATACAATGTAAAATACAGAAGAAAAAAACTGAGCTGTAAGAACATATTGGACTATAGCCAGATCAATGTAGAAAGTAATATTTGAATTTCACTCATGTGAAAAGTAATATTTTTTTATTAAAATTAAAGTTTTATCATTGATTTTTAAGTTATTCATGTTTCATACCCAATTTAAATTTTATTAGCATTTTCACTCTATTTTTTTTATAAGAGAAATTTTATTTATTACTTATTTTTATTATATTTAGCTTATCAACTCTATTTAGCTTATTAAAAAAGTCACTTGAGCTAAGCCATAAGCTCCACTGGGAGCTTTTGACTTTTTTAAAAGATTAAAAAAATTTGACATGTAAACACCATTTTTGAATAGCAAATAACTGCTGTGTTGATAAATAAATTTTCAAAAAGTCTTTTTAACATGTACTCAAGAAGAAGGAAGTTAAACAATATGAACAATAATTATTTTTATTATTTTAGAAATATAAGGTTGACAAACTATTAATAAAAGGTAATAATTATATATATCTATGGAATGTATTTTCCAAGAAAATGAATGAGTGTATTAAAAATAATTTATTGAGAAAGTCAGGAGAATAAGAGTTTCATTATATAAGTTGGAGATATAATAATATATACTTATTTCAATTTAATTAAAAAAATAATACAAATAATATTGAAAAATTATTGAACAACATTAGCTATATACTTATAGCTATATATATATATATATAAATTCTAGTTATATTATACCGATAAAATAATATAACATTACATTAGCTATATAATGTAAAATATTAAATTATATCTTATTACTAATTAAAATGATATAATTATATTAATATTTTTTAAGAATTATATTAAGATTTAAAAATATATTTTTACCAAATATAAATTTACCATAATTAACATTAAAATTTAATAATTAATTATTTTGATAAAAGTTATCTATATATATGTATATAAATATTATTTTATTTATTTATTTCCTTGTTATCTATGATAGATTTATAGAGAACAGGAGTATTAAATTATTAACGTGAACATATTAAAGGAATCAAAATCCGTAATGTTAAAATATCTTTAGTGCATGTAAGGTCCCAAGAAAAGATCATTAGAGTTATAAAAAAATAAAAGAAGATCATCAGAGGTATAGTCATAGACGAATTGTAGCAAAAAGCAAAACGATGTCGTATAATCGCTGCCTTGCCTATAGTCTCTGTCTGCCCTAATTTATGAATGCACATGAATGTGATGAGGATAAGGCATTTTCATTTTTGAAGACTTCATAGTTCTTGTCCCTTAATCCAATTCACATGCTTGCTCCTTCCTTAATCCATTGCATCGAGACTTTAGATTCTTCTCTGGGTTTTACACTTTGAAGATTCATAGTTCTTGTGTTGCCACAACAACAATGTACACCAACATCTCCAAAACCCAGGCATTTCCTCTCGCCGCTAAAATCTCTTCGCAGCCCAAATGCTTCGCTTCACCCTTCGCCTTAAAGCCCCAATCTTTGCCACTTTCTTTTCATCAAAACCCCATCTTAAGGAACCCCACTTCGCATAAATTTGGAACCTTGGAAATGGGGAAATTAGCAAATTCACACGGGTTAATGCTACAAATTGCTAGAAGATATTATAGTGCAAGAAGTGCTGAAAAGCATCTTCCTTGGTTAGAAGTAGCTAGTGAGGTTAAGGAAGAAGGTAAGGTGATGGAGAAAGCAAATATGACTAGGATCAGTGGCGGCTCTATTCGGGAGGGATCAGCAAAAAAGGTGAGTAGTAAGTCTTCTTGGGAGCAATCCATTGAAAGATTAGATAAAACAACAGTTCCAGAATCTAAGCCTAGACCAGCAGCAGCAACAAAAAGAACATCATTTTCTACGAAAGGTGGTGTTTCAGCTGCTGTTACTAAGGAAAAGAAGAGTGGATTGGTTGAGAGTGTGGGAGAGCATAGAAGTGATAATGGTAAAAGGTATGTGAAGTTTGATGATAATGACGAAGTAGGAGATGATGATGATGGAATGGGAGAGGAGGAGATTGATGATCCAAGGTGGGATAACATAAGGAATAGGTTCAAGGGGGTGGTGGGGGCAACAGTTGGATCAGAGAGACCTGAGTTTCGAAGATGGAATAAGCAAGAGAATTGGGGTAGGAAGACATGGAAAGAGGCTTCTGAATCCACTGTGCCTAAGATTGTTGGCGAGGGAATCTATGGGGTTGGTCCAGTTTTGGCTGCATTGTCAGCTGGTCGAAGGGAAATGTATGCATTGTATGTGCAAGAAGGGTTGGATTTGAGTAGCAACAATAGGAAGAAGAAGGACAAGAAAGGATTTGAGAGAGTTTTGAAACTTGCTGAAAAGCTTGGTTTGAGTGTAAAAGAAGCTTCAAAACATGATCTGAATATGGTGGTTGATAACCGTCCCCATCAGGGTTTGGTTTTAGATGCTTCACCACTAGAGATGGTGAAAATAATGGAACTGGACCCTGTTTCTATTGTTGAAGGGAAGGGTTCCCTTTGGATTGCCTTGGATGAGGTTACTGATCCTCAGAATTTGGGGGCAATAATTAGGTCTGCATACTTCTTTGGAGCTTCTGGGGTGGTGTTATGTGCCAAGAATTCAGCTCCATTGAGTGGTGTTGTAAGCAAAGCAAGTGCGGGCTCTCTTGAATTAATGGAACTGAGATATTGCAAGAATATGATGCAATTCTTAGTGTCTTCAGCTGAAAATGGTTGGCGAGTTCTTGGGGGCTCTGTCTCCTCCAAAGCTATTTCTTTGAACGAGGTTGTGCCTGGTCTGCCAACTATTCTTGTTTTGGGCAGCGAGGGCACTGGTTTGAGACCACTGGTGGAGAGATCATGTACTCAGTTAGTTAGGATTCCTGGGAACATTCCTTTTGACTCGAGCAATAATGAATTGGATGGTGAAAATGGTGGTTTAAATTCTCAGAGCTCTGGTAAAGAGTTCCTGTCATTTTTGGCTGTGGAAAGCTTAAATGTTAGTGTTGCAGCAGGCGTGCTTCTTCACCACTTAATTGGGAAAACGTTAGTAGATTCATTGCCAGAGGAGCATAAACAGATTGACATGTCTGAGTGAGAATGCATCACCTCACTTTATTTAGTCAGATCTCACTTAGTGTTTGTTGATGAAGCACAGTTTTTATTTGTTTGAATACATTGTAGTTCCTCCTTTATCATTTGATCATGTAATCATATTACAATCATGTTATCAAGTTGGTCTGTTCAGCACCGGAGTCAGTTCGCAATTTTGACTGCAATATAATTTGAAGGCAAATAAATGTTACACTATTATTCAAATGAAAGAGAATTGATTAAATTAGATGTTAATGCTCTTTTTGTTATCATATTTAAGTTGTATTAGTTTATGGATTTATATTATTTTTAACTTAAATTGTATTGTTTAAAGTTTCAACGTTAATTTTTCATTATTTCAGCCTTTATAACATTTGAAAATCGAAAGTCATCATTGCTTTTTTTATAGTTATTTTTTTTTATTGTGGTTACCGAATCTATGTGCTTAAGTTTATGAGATGGTTGTTTCTTGTCATGAAATTTGTCCATTGCCTCCATATAACATTAAATTGATGTCTGCCTTATTGTCCTAACTTTGCTTTTGCTGAATCCTTGTGACTCCATGACAAGTGGCAACATTTAACGGGGTCTAATTGCATTTTACCTTTTCAGCTTTTGTTTGTCAAATATACATCAGCCCTCTTGTTTCTGCTTCAGGTTTGAAGTTCTGAAGGACTTTATGGCTTTGGCTTAGACATGTTATTCTTTCTGCATCGGGTGCTTTCTTCATATTGGTTCCAAAATTTATCTCTCATTTTTTATTTAATGCTGCAAAATAGGGTGACAGTTAGTAAAAGTGGCTTACAGATTAAAGTTTTAGACACATCCCCACCTATTGTTAGGCTCCTGGGATATTCATAACCAGAGTTATAGAGAACAGAGATACCATTCCCCACTGTTTCTAGTGATTCCTGGGCTCAATCCACCCAGTACCAGAGCCATGTGGCTTCAAGATCTTGTTTGGTGTCTGTTAGGTTAGGACTGGGAAAGGGGTAGTTAATTAGGATAGTAAGGGTAGTTAGAAATTTAGAATATTTGTTAGTTAAAGAATGTTAGTGACATAAATAAATAGGACTGGAGGGAAGGAAATCTATTCAGATCTGTTATCATTTGTAAGTTGAGCATTAACTCTTTGTGAAGTGGAAACCCTTGAAAGAAAGTTCTCTTTCGTTTGTTCTGTTCTGTTGCAATCAATCAACAAATACAATATTTCGTCCCTTTTATCTATTTTCTGTTCCAGGTTCCTAACAGTCTCATTTGTGAATGTTGAGGTATCTGAATATGGTGGTTGATAATTGTTGCCATGCAGTTGTTGTTCCAGCAGATTCTTTAGGATACACACTAAGTCAGGCGTTTCAACTTTCAAGGTCCTTCAAGAGATGGACCATTGTATAAATTACCTGATAAATTTCAATGCTTAGGTTTGTGGTTTATCCTGAATCTTCTGAAGTATATAATTTCAACATAATATTTGAGCAGTGTCATCCTTCGTGACCTTTGAGTTACACTTTCATTATTACGTTCTTAAAACTATGAAATTATTTTGTTTTGTATAACTTTTTCCTTAATTACAATTAGTGTTTGTTGTGTTGTATCTTCATTTCGCAAAGTTTAGATCTCCCTTTTTCATCACGGCTAATGATGTTTTTGTCTTTATTCCACTCTACCACGAACTTTTGGTTGTGCCCTTAGTTTTTACTTTATTGGTGTTTGACTTAATCTAGTGTTTGCTTTGATGCTGGTGTCTACAGTGGCACCAAGAACGACCCGATTGTAAGAGACGTTCAAAACAAAATTTAAGAGAGAATTTTTATTTTCAATGTACGAAACTCTTTTGTAAGGGCGATCATGGGTTGATTTGAGTTGTGTTACATTAACAATAGGTTGGTTGAGTTGTGTTAGGTTATTGAGTACGAAAAATTAAAAACAAATTATAACATTCTTTCATTATTGAAGAGTAACATAGATGAGAAAGAATTAAGTTCTTGAAGTGAGATAAATTACTGAATTGTGAAGTCTAAAATCTAAATGTTAGTTGTGAGTTTTCAACACTAGAGTTCAACATCCAAACTAAAGCACGTTGAATTTAATTAAATTGAATTTTATCCAACACTAAAACACCCGATCCAAACTATTTGGATTAAGTTGAGTACATGGCTACTCATATTCGAAAACACTCCTATTCTTTTGTAATATATGTAACCTTTTTATTTTATAAAAACTAAAAATAAATAATTTTTTTTAGTTAGTAAAAAGACATAACAAACTAAATCCTAAATCCTTGTTATTCGGTGGTTGCACTTGGTTTGTTGCGCCCCTCTTCTTGTTTGGCCATTGATCTAAGTTTGCCGCATTTCTCTTCTTTGTTTTGTTATGTCTTTCTAGTTGCTTCGTAGCTGTGCTCGGATTTTGGATTGTTCTTGCCCTAACCTTTATGTTTAGGACTTGTTTGTTTTCTATTAAAAGAAAGGCTTAGTAAGCTTTAACGGGAGGGAGTCCTATGTGTTAGAATATATGAAAATATCTTATCATTTATTAGAATGTTTTAGATTATCCTTTAGGATTATTTTTTCTATTTCCACCTGATATCTTATGACTAATTACCATATATCTTTATCTTTTCACATTTGCTTGCCTATTTACTTAGGAATATGATTAATATAAATAATGGTTAGTACTATATGCTTTATGAATAAATCAAATATATCTATATATTACGGTACATCTGAACTAATATCAATAATTCAATGCGAAATTGGGAATCGATGTGAATAAAAAGTTATTGAAAGTTATTGGTTTTAATAATATAATGATTTTAAAAGACATATTTAAGTGTTTTCTAACACCAGTAGTTGATAATACATGAAATTAAATTCTTAATATCAATTTAGCATCTCTTTTTCTCCCTCAATATCCAAAAACAATATAATTTCAACAGTAAACATAAGCTTTCTTTATGAAGGATGAGGGACCAAATTTTTGTTGCACCTGGATGTATTTAAATGTGGGCAGTTATGGCTGTCTATAAGTACCATTTCTCAAGCATGATTGTTTCCAAATACAAAAAAGGTTGATAATAGTGCCCGTCATCCCTGTCCTATCCATTGAGGAAACTATTGCATTTTATACACTATTTTTTATTTTTTCTCTTTTTCTTGAAGCACTTTGAAGGGCTTCTAAATTCTAATTCTTCAATTGGAAGTGACACCATTGTTTCTTGTGCAATTGCCTAATCTCCTAGATGCCCAAAGCCCAATAAGGATTGGACTTGTTTTTGTTTCCTTCCATAAAATTCATTGGCCCTTGCATTTCCTTGTAGGGGTGAGCAACGGGTGGGTTTGGTCGGGTTCGGGTGAAAAATGTCCAACCCGTTGTAAACCAACTTTGAAAAAATGTGACCCATATCCGACCGACTGAGCTTTCGATTTGAGGTGGTTCGGGTTAAAACGGATTCGGATTTAAGCGGGTGGGTATAATCGGGTTTGAATTTTTTTGTAGACCAATTTATCTTAACGAAGGTGAAGCTTAAAACGATAAAAAATATTTTTAAAATAGTGTATAAAAATAGAATGAAGGTAAAAATAGATGGTGTAAATAGATTCGTAGTTGAAACATTTACAAACTAAAGAAGCAAAAATAAAAGATAACAAAATTCATAGTTGTTACATGGAAAAGAAATATAAAGTTAGATTACAAAACCATAAGAAATCACAGTCACACAAAATGTACTCAAAATGGAGATAAGAAGATGGAAAAGAAAGACAAAGAAAGAAGCAAAAAGATAACTCTAAAAATGGACTAGTGTGTTGAGAAGTTGAATGAGGAAGGAGAAGACAAAATAAATATCTAAGTTATGAGAAAAAGGAAAAAAATAAGTTACAAATTGATGGCTATATTATACTTGAAATAAAGACTTTTAAATTTGAGTCATTGTTGTTTAGTTATACAAAAATAATAAAAATTTAAACTTATCTCATTTTCGGTTGGGTTTGGTTTTTAGCGGGTTTAAAAATTCAAAACCGAACCCGCCCAATATAACCCGTATAAAATCAAAATTTTAACCCGATTTACCCATAAAACCCGCCCGAACCCACCCAAAAACAATATTTTTTTTCGGGTTTTTCGGGTTCGGTTCGAGTGTCGGTTTAATGCTCACCCCTATTTCCTTGTGTCCGTTTAATTAAAATAAATAGGATGAATGAAAAATATAGAGATGATTAGAAATAACAAATAAACTAGAAAACAAATTGTTGGATTTAATAGAAATAGAATAAATAAATAAATAAATGAAAGAAAATAGGTGATAAAATATATAGTAGATTCCATACATTTTTTTTTAATCTAATCTCTTCCAAATAAATTCACATTTTTATTTCTTACTTATGTTTTTCTTTCTTTTCTACTCTATTTTTCCTTTAATAAACAAAAGGGTAGTTTTGTCATTATAAGTTTGTAGTAACAAGTGCTAAACTAGTAAGGAGGTGAAGCATATTGTTCCTAATTTTTTGACTACATATTACTTTTAAAGTGAATGGTTTATACCGTCGTTAAATTACAAAGGGCGTATACATAAAAGTTATTGAATTTTATAATAATTACTTTAAAAATAAAATTCACCATAAATTCTAATTAATCAATGATTTAAGAATTACATCAACGGTGTATAAAAATTGAGCTTTTACTTTTTTTTTTTTTTTTAAGTGAAAGTGAATGTCTCCAAACCTGTCACAATCCCACCAGAAAGAAGCTAAAAAACATTGTTCCTACTAAAACCATCGAGGTCACATGGAAGCTGAGTCAACATAATTCTTATATATTATATGTAAATTATAATGAGTGTAAGTTTAAAAATTCACTAAATCATGTATATGTTAATAATTTTTTTATAATATAAATTTAAATGATCTAACCATTGAATTAAGTGATATTATACTTAAAATTATACATATCAAATTTTACATGATTTGAATTTTTTTGATGATTATTTAAAAATAATATTTATACATATTTTAAATA